TCCATCTGCCAAGCAGATCCCTCACTTTACAGTACACATGACATATGATTGGATAAAAATTGAACTACAAGTTGATAGGCCTCAATTTGTCTGGCTATGCTTGGAAAGTCATTACAGTAGTGAGGCCAAGATTATAGCCATACTCGAGGTTCACAAAACACACTTTTTGTTTTCCAAGGATAATTGCTCAGCAGTTCATTCAAATCTAGCCTTGTAAGAAACCTCAGATTATATTCTTCAACACAGACAAGCTAGATCCTTTTAACAAATTTTATCATTAGAGCATTTTTTCTTTCCCTAGAACTAAATACTGTCCCCCTTACACCTTCTAGGTTATAGCTAAACAAATGTTAACCTAGCAGAGAGATGTGTACATACAGTCTTATTACTGCACATGGAAGAAGGTGAACTCAGCTAGGAAACAGTTCACATACAACTTAGACTATGTGAGAAGCAACAGTGAGTAAAGCAGCAATTCAGAAGAAGCAAAACCAAACAAAAACCAAAATGATCACTAAAAACCAGTCCACCCCAAAACCAACAACTTTGATAGTTTATTTCAGAATGGCTTAACAGAGTTTATGATAAAGATATTTTTAAAGATTCTTCATCTTAACCGTTTATCAACTTTTTTCCTAAATTATAAATAAACAAAAACTCTTTTATTTGTATGTAATCAGTTATATATGTATTCAACAACTGTAATTTAAATAATGTCAATACCAGCATGCCAATAATAAAAATAACATTTTTGTATGTCCGATTCTAATTTAAAAAGTAATACCTTATTAAAAATTAATAGTCATTAGAAAGCTAAATTAACATTGTGTTAACTGTCACAGCATATAATGGCTCTCAAAATACACATGAAAACAGAAATGACATACAATCTTCTCCTACAAAAAGTTAGGCCATTCAAACACTTAAAAATATGGAAATAGGAATAAAAGGGTAAAAACAAAAAAACCATCATTTTGCTAATTATATGTAAAATCTAGTCAACTAACAAATTACATGGTCCAACAGAAAAACTCAAGAAGCAAAAAACTGCTTTCTGTGATGTGACAAATCTTCAGCAACACTATTTCAGTACTATGTAAGAGAGGAGGGGAAAAAAAAAAAAAAGAGGGAAGGATATCCTAAAGCAAGCTTCTCACTTAATTTCTAGGCCTGACACCAACCATAAACTCTACTTCAGCTATTAACAATGGTAGTTTCTTTTCGTAACCTGAATCTTAAAGAAATTGTATGCCACCACCAAAAAAACCCCCAATATTTCAGTAACTACAAATATCTGGCTAAGGTTTTCCAGACATCACTGAAACTCAGTAACTGCTCCACTGTGCTATGAACTCTACAGCTTCAAGTTGGAAGTCAATCTAGGACAACCAATAGAAAGTGCACCTGTACAATTACTGCATTTCCTAATTCAGAAGGCCAACTAGAAACAGATAAAGCTTGTGTGTACTCAGCTCACCAAAACAGAAATCCAAAAGCCCATACTTATTTTGTACACACTGCACATCTATATTATCATTAACTGCAATGAAAAAATATTGCATTTATAATTCAGAAACAGAAAATTACATTCCTTAACCAACATACATTTAACTTCATTCTAAATGAAATATAAGTATCCATATATGTAGTATCTAAAATTGCTATACACACAATCATTTAAAAACATTTTCTACAAAAAATAATCACCCAAACTTAATAAAAATTATTTTTTTAAAAAGTAATCTAGTAAATGAATAGTACTATATATAGTAATTTAAAACATTCAATATGAGCTCCATGCAACAATGAAAAATAACCTGTATCACAAAAAAATAATCAGCATCATTTCCAAGGCATGCAACCTTATTTTAAAACCTGCAGAAATTTACTATTTTACAAGTAATAAAATAATTATTTAGCTCTTTGTACTCTAAAATAGAATTACATATGCTGCTAGTAATTGAGAACAATATAATTTGTGCAACAGTCTACCTTCCTGCAGATGCATTTTCATTCAACATCTGACCCCACTAAGCAGTAAACAAATTTACATATATCAACACATTTCAGTGCTCCAAATATTAAACTAAGTTTCTATAACTGCAATAATATGATCTCTTAGTAACAGTCCTTTAGTACCGTCATTCTAAAACAATCAAAAAAAATGGCCTCTGACATATATTGTTTGTGTACTTGGGATCCCTTCAAAGTTTAAGGCCTGGAAATGCAAAATAAAAAAACCAAAACTACAAAACAGAATCACCTTTAACTGACCACTGCACCAGATGAGAAAGGAATTACAAGGTTTTTTTCTGCTTTATTTTATAGCATTTTAAAAGAGTAGGGATATTTTTATTATTGCACACACTGAAAACTAAATATAACCCCGCACTCAAAAATACTACTGCAACAGCTTGATAGCACTCACCGCAAGTAATACTGTTTTAAAGCGAAGGCAGCGTTAGAACAACTTCTGGGAAAGTTAAACTCTTCTACAATTTCTCCCCACTGATTCTTCTCTGATACCTGTCAAAAACAACACACAAGCCGAGATACACAACGTACACGTAAACATGTTGCTGACAGCGAACATCACAAAAAAAAAACAGGCTCCCATGAAGCAAATAGATAAATATATTAAAAGAAACAAACATGAATGTATATGGGATTTAGGACTATATATTTTACTGGCAGTTGATAGTATTCCCCTTTCGGGAATAATCCCGCTTCTCAGGGGTCTTTTACTGCATTTATTTTTTAACATACACATTAATTTTTTCGGGGGGAACGGCCGGGAGTGGTGGTATTGTTTTGGGGTTTGTTTGTTTTTGTTTTTACTGCCTGGACAATAACCAATCGGGAGTCCCTCTGTCGCCCCCTTTTAAATCCTAACGCGGTCCGTTAAAAACCCAAAGAAGTTTAAAATAATGCAGGGAAGTGCTGGCGGGGGGCGCCCCCTGGGCTGCGGGGCGCGGGGGCGCCGGCCCGGGGGGTCCCCCCAACACAGATCCACAGACACAGAGAGGCCTTTCTTTTGAGGCCTACATTTCTGTCCCCAGCCTTGAAGCCTAAAGATGGCTATTTGATTACACACCGTCTTGGGTGCCCCTTTTGTTATTTTTCCCAGGGAAGGGCTCGGAGGGCAGCGCCCGGCCCCCCCTGGCTGCGAGGATCGTTCCCTAGCCCATGCTCCGTGCCGATTATCGATGTTAAACATGCCCGCTAATTTTGAGTTGCACTAAAACTGCACTCAGACTCTTTCCTCTGTCTCTCCCTCTGCAAGAGAGACGCACAGAGCTGCCACCACAGCCGAAAGAAGCCTGCTCTCGCCGCCCAGCAGCTCCCTGCTCCCCCCTCGCCTTCCCGTGGGAGGGGGGCATGGGCGAGGGGGTCCGGCGGAGGCGGAGGAGGCAGGAGTGGGGTGCGCGCCGTACCCCCGGGTCCCCCTCCATCGCTCCGCCGACAAGGCCGAGCCACCAACCTGCCTATCTGCTCGCTTCCTCCTTCCACCCCCCACCTTCTCTAACCGGCTTTAAATAGGACGGTTCCCGGCCACCTCGGCTCCCCCCGCCACCCCCGGGGGTCAGAGGAGACTTTTGGGAAGAGGTTAGTGGGAGGGAAACCCAAATTAAAACTTCCACTCACCTTCCCAAATCCGCCTAAAGTGGTGACTCTGGTATAGAGAGCGTGAAGATCCAGCTCCTTCCCACCCACCACGGGGATCTTCTTAAAAGGAGACCTGCCAAAGGAGATACACACAAAACACCACAACTTGTCAGCTCTGCCCCCTTTTCTCCCCTCGCTGGGGCTGCCGTGTCCTTCAGGGAAGGGGCTGGAAGTTGGATCTGGTCGATTTAAAAGCCTCCCCCCCTCCCGTTCCATCTCCCCATTTTCCTCACCCTCTGCTGTGGTGAAACTGCCGCAGCTCGTCCAGGAAAGCGAGTCCCTTTCTCCGCTGGTCTGCGTGGTTTTTACCCGTCGAATTTGCCATTTTTGTAATAAAAAAGGTTCTCGTAAAAAAAAAAATCCAATTAAAAAAAAAAAAAAAACGGCCGACAACAACAACAACAATCCCCGGCTCCTCCTTGTCTTTAAGAGACCCAGGTGCCCGTGCTCGGCCGGGGATCAGCCATGGAGAGGGGCTTGTTTAAAAAAAAGTTTAAAAGGAATAAGGGAGCCCCGAGAGTGTGGTAATTGCGAGTCCTGTCTCCACACAACACACGGGCGAAGAGGCAGGGAGGGAGAGGGGCACCTCTCAGTAATTCCTCCTCCCGCGGCTGCTGCCTCTCTCAGCACCACAAACCCAGCCGATCCAGCCTGCACATGAGACTCAACATGGTGCTGCTGGATCACACAATGAATTGGGTTACTGTTGTGGTGGGGCGGGGGGGGAGCCGGAGTGAGGTATTGACAGTGTGTGTGTGTTACAGCCGCGGCTCCATGCGATCTCCCTCCCTCGCTCGCTCGCTCCCTCGCTCGCTCCCTTACACACACACACTGTACAGCTACGGCGGCGGCGGCGGTGGCGGCGGCAGCGGGATTCACTTCTCTTCTCGCTCAGACAAAAAGATCTGAGGCCGCCGTGCTTCTGCCTGGACGAGAGCGCGACACAGCGGGCCCCGGAGGCCGGTTCCGGTACTGCAGGAGGCAGCTCCAAAGGCAAAAGCCAGCACAGCCCCAGCAAGCAGTTCCTGGCGGGGAACAATAGGCTCCTCTCGCCGCTAAGGGCTCATCTGCAATGTGCCGCAAACTTCACACAAAGCCGGGCGGAAAGAGGCGAGGGAGAGGGAGAAGAGGGAGGAAAAAAACGGCTACTACCGGCTGTTCCGGGGCGCGGGGCCGGTGCGGGGCCCTCCCGTGCCAGGCTCGCGCCGACCGGCCTCTCTCCGCTGGCTGCCGGCGGGGGAAAGGTGGATTTGGAAAGCGGGGATGAATTTTTTAATTGGACTAAACCCAACGCCCTGAGTTCAAGGGGAGAGAAAACAACAACCGAAGGGGGCACTGGTGGGATGTGGACTTTCGGAAAACTTTCCGAGTCCCCCGGGCCGAGGTGTTTCCAAGGGCAGGAAGTCGCCCCGGATGGCACGGCGGGGGCGGGGGGGGCAGCAGGAACCCCTCATTTCGAGGCATGAGGGCTTTAAAACTCCCCAAAGGAGAATGCCGACTGCTCCCCCGAGTAGGAGGTGTCCTGGAGAGGTTTGTCAGCAGGAGCTTAGGCTCAGGGTCACTCCATGAATATTTCTTATTCCTTCTTTCTCTTGAGATACTACAGCCTGTAATCTAAGTGCCTCAAGACTGCTGTACACAATCTGAGCCGCTCATATCTTTCTGTACGTTGACAAATGGAACATGCGGCACAAAATTAATGGAGGAGGAAGGTCTTGGCCCTCACCCTGCATGGGCAGCAGCCTCCACTGGTACTCCAAGCCACTACTCCTCTGCCTGTGGTGTGCGCAGTGTTTGTGTTTGTAAACACCTCCTGACGTGTTTTCCATTTGGGAAACCAGGAGGAGACCTGCACGCCGACCACGGTGGAGCTTGGTGCCACTTGGGGTAAACAGGAGCAAGAAAGGGCCCATGGGGTGAAGTGTGCTTCCATCAAACCTTTGCTCCTCAGGTACAGCAAGTGGTACCCAGGTGGGCATTTGTCCTTTCCTGGCATGCAAACAGCTGCAGGTGAGTGCTTGCTCCAGTTTAAGAGACTGGAATATTTGCCCCTCACAACCTGTACACTGAAATCCAAAGCTAGATCAGGCCTACAGGGTTGGGGTTTTTTAAAGCAGAACTCAAGAAAGTCAGTAAGGAGCTGTGTTTTAGAATCAATGGCACATGACGGCCTCCAGTGAGCACTTAAAGAAGGAAATCTACAATTCTTTTCTACTCCATGTACTAACTTCAGAAAACAATTTTTTAAAAAATATTTTTTCCTTTTGATTTGTGTGTTGTTTCAGCTTGAATATAGAGACAGATACAATAAAGCTGCCCTGGGTTCATGATTTGGGGGGGAAGGACAGAGAAATACCTGAGTTTCAAATTAATACTCTGTATTGAAAGTTGGTGGTGTGTGGATTTCAGATTATGAAATGCATAGTGTCTTATTCACTGCATCATTAAGAGCCTTCCCTCCTCCCCCCTAAAATTAGACCTTCAGATCTTGGTCTGCAGCTCCTGTCTCTGACACTCTGAGCTTCTGCTATTTCAGCTACAGTATGCGTAAGACTGTCAAAGCCAGGATAATACAAATCAGAGAGGTTTAAAACAAGCGTCTGGGGGTTAAATCGCTCTTTTAGACACACAGTCAAACCTCCCTTCATGGGAGGGCGGTGGTTTTTAATCATGCCTTAAAAATTCCTTAAAAGCAGGGGGTCTCCCCTCCGCGAGGGGCGGTCGGCAGAGGTGAGTCACCGCTCGCCCGGGCGCTCTGTGAGGGGAGCGGGAGGCAGAGGGGAGGACAGACAAGTTGCGTAGCAGGGCTAGGTGGGTTTCCATGCTAAGCACAGCAGTTGCGCACGGTCCCTTACGTAACTGTCAGCCGGGGATTCCCTAGATGGGGTCACTTTATTCAACCATTACACAGACCCCGGCCGCTGCTCCGGCGCGCCTGTACTGCCGCGGCCGCCGCGACTGAGGCTGCGGCTGCTGCAAGGGAGTGCAACGGCTCCTCACAAAATGGCGGCGCCCATGGAAGCGGCAGCCCCATTTTGTGCCCGGCAGAGCCTGTCAACAAACACCGACTTGGCCGCGGCTGAGGAACAGAAGGCGGCGGCTCGTTTGCGTTACGGAGCGCGGAGGGAGGAGAGCGGAGGATTTCACCGCCCTCCTACCGCCGAGAGGAGACTCTCGAGCGCGTGTTGGGGGAGGGAGAAGAGGGAGGTGAAGGGGGACGCGAGCAGTGAGCGAGTCAGAGGCTGCGTTATCCCAGCGCGGAGCTGTTGGAGCTGCGGCGCGGGGGAGGGGAAGGCGAAGGCCAAGGCAGGCGGCCTTGGCGCTGCCCTCGCCGGGGCGTAGCTCCCGGAGACCCGGGGGCTGCGGAGACCCGGGGGCTGCAGGAGCGGCTGGGGACGCCGGGCCGGAGCCCGGGGCTGCCCGCACGGGGGGCGCTGCGCCCCGCTCCCGCACTGCCCGGGCGGACGGGACCGTTCCTGACGGATTCCGGCGAACCTGTAATGAATGACAGGACGATCGAGCTCCTTGTGTAGCTAACTAGGTCACTGTCAGCACTTAATTACTGTTTGTTTCATTTTAGTGCGTGCCTTATGAATAAACCGGCTATTAGGCTGATGCTTCAAGTAACATTATCCAGCACCAAGGTACAAAATGTCTGTATTGGACTCTGATCTTGCGATGCTAGCTTGGTAATAATTACTATTTTACATTAACGATGTTTTGGTTGTTATAGCTTGGTTATTCGGCTTATAGCTGAAATAGGTGGAGATCCCTTACGATAAGGTTGTGAAGCTGATTCTAGTATGACACCACCGGGCTTGTTTGTTTTATGTTTGTTAGCGGGGCTCCTACGTTTTTAGAGATAGAGAAGGGGCTTGTGCATTAAGACCTTTTTTTTCCCTGATCTATATGTCTTAATATGCATGCTTTTTAATAGTATTAAATAAAGGAAATTACCTATTTCTGGTGTAAGTTACAATTTTTAAATGTACCAAAATTAACTTGATATTAAGGAATTTTGGAATATCTTGTTGCATACTAAACAGTCAAAGATCAAAAGTAAGGAAAAGGAAAAAATCTTGCTATTTAAGAAAAGATTCTTTTATTGATCTCTGTATAGTACTTGTCAATGCAATTTGAGTTTATTTGTAAAATAAAACCTGTACTGTTTGTAAATATTATCTTATACAGTGAATTTCAGTGTATAAATGTTACAGAATTCTTGCAGACAGACAGGATAGGTTCAGTACCTGAAACGTCACTATTCACTGCTGCTTGCATGGGTTTTTGGCCCCTCTGTTGGTTGGGTTTTTTTAAGTGTAGCTATGTTAAGTGAATGTTTGGTTCTAGCAGCTGTATCCTGTGTTGCAGTTTCTTTTTTTTTTTTTTTTTTTTTTTAATCTTTAATACTAAATTTGGGCTTATTACCTATCTGCAGCATTGCTGCTTTAGAGAGAGCAGGCCACAGTTGCTCTTGTCAGTGTGCCACTAACTGCATTTGCTTTCTGGTGAGTGATTCCCACTCATTTCCATTTTTGCTTGTGCTGCTCTTGAATTGTGGCAACATTATGTTCTGGTGAGTGTAACTAGTATCGCTAGCTATATGCTACTTGTATTAAACAGTAAACTGTAAATCCTTAGAAACTGAAGTTAATTTTGTTTGTGTGTCTGTGCATGTGCTATATACATGGTTTTTGAAAATACAGCCTATTAGATGGATTACAGAATCCAGTGAATTCCCTCTTAAGACTAGTGTATAATAGAGGTGCAATGTAAAAATAAGCACAAGAATTACAGGATGAACTTCTGGTAGAGGAGAGCATCAGAAAGTTGGCAAATTTTAGTAACATGTAGCTCAACCATATTTAATCAAAAATGTTAAAGTGTTGGAGTAACTGCATATGCTGGGCTAAAGACTTCACTGTTTGCTTAACTTGTGGCAAATGTACACTCCAGCGAGGGGAGTTTCAGTAAGCCCCTACCCCTTCTTACTGAATGATGCTTTCTAAATTCCATTTTAGTGTGCTAGTTTCTTATAAATATTCTGCTACTTAGCATAAACCATAAGTGACTAGTCTTCAATGGTGCACCATTAAATCATAAGTGAAAGGTCTTATGCATGAAATTAAATGCTGAACAGCATAGCAAAGGTGGGAAAGTGGAGGTCCAGCATTACAATTTTCAGTACAGTTATTGTTCACAATTTTCAGTACAGTTATTGGAACTTAACTACCTAAGGAGGGTTGAGTTAGATAATCTTAAAATTTAAAACACTTCTACATTGAAAAGACCCACCTTCATAAGCTGTTTATTTAAATAATTTATGACACCCTCCTCAATCTTCCAATAGGGTGTGCACCTTCCTCATTTAACTTTATGGTATTACTATTTAAGAAACAAAACAGAGGGAAAATTTGGCTACATAAACACTACTGAAAATACCCAAGTAAATTGATTAAACACTTTAAAAAATGCTATCTGTAAGTACTATAATTTTTTAATACTTGCCGTTCTTCACAAAGGTCCACCTCTTGGAATTACTGAGTTTTATGGTCATCTAAACTCTTAAGTTATAAGCACTTCAAAGTTGATGGTTTTTCAGTTGTGCAATGAAGTATGAAACACAAAGCAGGAAAACCCTAAATGCAACTGAAGGAGAAGTAAAAATAAATATGTAAATGCATTTCCACTTGATTTCAAAACTGCTATACTTTTGAAATCCTAATTCTTTTGTGGGTCCTGACTTAGGTGTTCTGAACACTCTAGGTTGGTAATACTTCAGCAGTAAATTTAGAAAGATTGTCAAATTCATATCATGTTCTTGCAGGGAAAAAATAAAAAATGCTGCTTTAGGTTATCAAAACTGTAATGTAGATTAGGGCCTCAATGGCAGAAAATATTTTGGTGTTCTAGCAAGCATTGGTCTGTAGCACAGAAGTCATGAAAGTTCTGACAGCAAATGGGCGCAGGTTTTTTCTAAAAAAAAAAAAAAAAAAGTATTTGGTCTTAGTAAATTAATCTCACACATTACTTTATGATGACCTCTGTGTCAGTGTGATCTGGTGGATGGCACACTTTCCCCTGCCACTATAGCTGTACACTGTTCCCTGAAATAGCACTAGTGTGATTCATGTTTCTGGTTGAATGTGTGAAAGTTTGATTGAGATGCAAAACTGAGAGAGTTCTTCTGAATGTTAAAAAGGAACCATACTCAGAAATACAGAAATGATCAGATTAAATTTGGCAAAGAGCTTTTGTAGATTAAGAATTATACTGCCATGCTTGGATGGGGAAGGTCCAATTAATTTAAAGCAAAACCAAACCTAATAACTTCATGACATTTGTTATAAGTAAAAGTGGTGAAATCCTACTGGTAGGAGAGTTCTCAGTATTGCAGATTTGCCAGCAATATTTCATTGTCACATAGCACTGTCTCATCTTTATATTTTTACCAATTTAAATGACAGTCAACAGCAGCTAAAATTATGTTGAAATTTCTCTGAGTAATCAGTTGCCTTACCTAACTTTTATATGGGCATAAATGAAAAGGGAAGTAATTTGTGCAGCTGTGAATGTGTGGACAGACAATACAAGTGACAATTTATGCATTTCAGTATAATATATGCTAGAAGAACACTTCTGAAAAATGATAAATAAAAAATACTGGCCAAATAACATATAAACTAAGTAATCTATTAAAATTGCCCAAGCAAATCAGGAACTTAAAGCAGTGAAAACAGATTAATATCCATGGAGGTACTTGAAAAGGAAGAAATTTATTGTTGTTTAATTATGATTCTCAGTGTATCTGTTAGTGATATGCTTAATCTGGATTTGGCCTCACAGACTGCTGATGGATAGGTTCATTGCATATCTGTTGTGTTGTCCAGATAAAAGGAAGTGTTTTTATTTTCAGAGTAACTGCAAAACAAATCCCCTTACACTGTGCATTGGTCAAATGCTGATGTGATAGCTAATTTGAAAATCATACTTAAAACCTCGGACTTAAATTTTTAACTATAGTTGTGTCTAATATAGCTGAAAAAAGCTAATGAGAAATAGTTCTTGCAGTTGTTTACTATAAAGAGTTATCAAATGTAGTTGAGTATCAGTTCCTGTTGCTTGCAGAAACAGGATAGCATTTAAAGCTCTTGGGGAAATCTATGACTGTTAATCTGCAGATATTATAAAAATGTTTATTAGGCTGAGCTGCTACTACTTCTGAATTTTGAACCTTAATGTGAGTTCTGTCTTACCCAGAATCTTGCTGCAAACTCTCTTTGTAATCAAGGAAAATCGCTTAGGGAAATGTAGAAATGGCATGCACTTATATATTTTATATATATATATATATAATATAAATAAATAAAAATATATAAAATACATATTTTTGGGGCATCTGAAGATCTCAAGGTCCTCATGTTTAAGAGCATCTGGTGCACAGAGCAGGGTCAGTGTCTGGTTCTGAGCTGAGATGCACTTAACAGTGTTCAGAGAAGAGTGAGCATAGTTCCCTAACCCTTTAGCAAAAGGCAAAAGTGCACTCTGGGTATTTGGGGTGTAGCCGTGTTCAAACGTGTTGCGCAAGCCGGTGTGCTTGGCCTTGTCCTTATCTAGCTTGTGTGTGGTGTGGGGAAACGGCACGCTGGGGAAAGGTCTCTTCCCTCCATGAAACTCCCTTGCATGTAATAGAAAACAGTCAAGAAGCTGGAAAATTCTAACACTCCTGGTGAAGAACAAAAAAGGGAGAGGAAAGAAAGTGGGGACTTGAGCAAGGGAGTGAGTGAAATCTGATAATTTTGAGTGGGACAGTTCCCTCTCTGTGTGCTTCCGAGCAGTGTCACAGTGACTTTAATACAGATCTCCTTAGGTGCATTTACCCTAAAGTTTATTTCTATCTCTTTCTGATTTGGGAATATTAAGTACTATTCACACTTTATTACAAATCAAGACGTTAGACTTCTTTATTGTTGTAAGTATTTTATTCCACTTTATTGAACAGAAACTTCCCAGTGGCCTGAGTCACGTGCTGCACCAGACTGCTTTGTAGTAAGTTCCCCAGCATAAACAGGAGTGGCCTGAACTTACAGTGTGATCTCTCAGTATGAAACTTCTTCCTGTCTTGTTTCATACTTCACAAAGTTTCTCTAGTGATACTTTACAAAGTCAAAGTAGATTTTTTTTTTCTTTAATGCTACAAGTTTGGCTAGATTTATAAGACAATAAAAGTGAAATAAGCCTATCTGTGAATGAAACCCTGAGATACTGTGTTTCATCTGTTACCTCTATTTTAATAAGTCTAGGCTCATTCTTCACTTTGCTTTAGGAAAATTAAATAATGTCACAGTTTTTCCTTTGAGAGGTTACCAAGCTATTACAGAACCTCCATGGTGTTCCATTGGAATTAATTGTGCTTAGAAGTTATGAAAATGGAGTTGTGTATCCTTAAGTCAGGTGTTTGTGTTTTGTTTGCAGTAATATACAGAAATTATGTATATAATATACAGTATGTATTTGACAGTGTGAATTTCCCCAGGTCATTTAATTTTTGTTCTGAGGAATCATCTCCTTTTGCCAAAATATGCAAATTAAGTTTTCAAAGATGTTTTTTTTTTTTTTTTTTTCAATATTTGGGTAACTAGCTGCAGCCAAGTTAATCTCAGGATCAGTTTATTTATTTGTAGAAGAAAACAAGTAGACATTAAATTTACTATTTTTTTATCTGTCAGAGAGTTCTTGACATTAAATAAAAATCTAATAGTTTCTGTTTGCGTCTGAACATAAAATTATGTATAATTACATGCAAACCTTCACATGTATGAAAAAGAAGATGAACAATCAGTGCTCATTGCTTAAGTTTTCCATCTGTGACATCCTGCATGTGTACCATGATAATCCTTAATTATATGATCACTTTCTAAATGCACGATCCTTCAATTGGAGATGGAAACTTCTAACTGAATTAAAACAATAGAAAAGTTATTTCTCTGTATCTGATATTAAGTGTTTATCTGCATACAGATTTTTTTTTTTGCTTTTCCTGCAGGCTTTTCTAGAGTAATCATTAAGAGAGTATCTGAATGCTCATACTAATGAGTACCTAAAATTCTGAACTAGTAGCATTATCATCACTGTATTGCTGAGACAGCTAAGGCATAGAAGGATTCAATAAAAGAATGGCTGCTAAACTGGGTTGGTTTGCATTTAATCAAAGCACAGTTTCACTGAATATAATGTACAGGTTATTTGAGGGTAGAGGTTGTTCAGCAATAGGAGTGTTAGCCATAATTTTAGAGCTGTGTTAAATTCAGGAATGAGCTTTTTCTTGAATTTGTGGGTACATGCTGTGGTCCTGTCTGCATTATTAGTGCTTTTCCTGGTGCAGTGTTATTGGGATGCTCTATTCCTCAGAGCATTTGCGGTGCTGAGAAGGCTGTATGCCTATGGTAGATTCTCCTTGATATTTCTGCATTTATTTTCCAGCAGCTTGAATTTGGAGCTCAGAAAATGAGAAGCACTTCGTTAGAGGCCTCCAGTTCGATACAAGAAACTCGCTACTCTGTAAATCCCTGATAAAGACAGAAATAGAAGTGGTGTGTAGCCAACAGGATGCATTTGCGGTAGCCTCCCAACATCCCCTATCCCTCCCTCCCCCCGAGGCTGCTGCTGGCTTTTGGTGGGGCCTGGGTGCCAGAAGAGGGAGCACGGAACACGGCAGAGCCCCAGCCTGAATGTCGCTGCTGCTGCCTCAGGTAGGAAGAACTCTGCAAGGACCAACCTGCAGCATTGCTGATGCCACAGGTTTTTCAGAAAACCCAGCTTATGTATATATATAAGATATATATAAAATATAGCTCTTAATATATTTTTCATTATTACTATTTTTTGCTGTGCATGTAGCATGTGATTTAAGAGCTTTTAGCTGTGTCACATTGTTCAATAGGAAAACTGCCAAAATCTCTGATTCAAAGGCTACTCTTCCACTAAATTTCAAATTCTCTCTTCAAAGTAAAGGCCTTTTCAGTTACATTAAAAGGTTTTTTCCTGTACTTGAGTTAAAATGGGAGGTTTTTTCCTTCCACAGTTTCACACTTGGATTTTTGTTAAAAAAATCAGCTTTTGAAAACATCAGCTTGAGGCAGACATGTGGCCTGGAAAACTTAAACTCAGGTAGTATTAAAGTCAGAAAACCAGCATATCTTCAATTGTTTTTTCTGATAACGTGTCTTAGAACCTGAAGCTCTATTGAATTTCAACCCTGAAAACATATCCTAGTAGCTGTTTGGCTGTGTTTGCATTTCTAGTCATTATATGCAATGTGATTGCAAAATACCTGTACTGGGCTCAAATATAGAAAGTCAGGTATCCTTTAATATACTTAGCTTATTCCAGTATAATTCTTATTACTCAGAATAACACTGTCCAGTACAGACACATTACATGAGAGGGAGGTAGCAAGTCCTATACTTCTAATCTAAGTAGTAAAAAATACTCTTTGCAGTAGTAATTCTTCTCCAATGGGTTTAGGTCTCTGGGTAGCTGAAGCAGTTATGTTAGGTAACACAGACTGAGTCTTTAGCAGTATTCAGACTGTATCCCTTAACAGTGCAGAGCTGTGATCACCACATCCAGTTCTAACTTGTTACAGGACCACAGTCAAAGAGTGGAACAGTTTTGTTGACTAGACAAATGGCATGGGAGAATTCCTAGGTTACTTAGTTTTCTAATCTCTGCTCAAGAGGTCCTGGTGGCTTCATTGCTAGCAGAGGCTTAGCCTTGTGAGTACTGTCTGACTTCTTAATTTTTATTTATTTGTTTAGGTTTTAAGAAAGGACTAACTGATGAATGGCTAGCATTTTTTTTTTTGTTCTCATTTTGTTACTGCTGGCTTCAGTTAGGTCTGAGAATGATAGAAGGGCTTTACACAGCTGTTTGTTTTATTTCTCCTTACCCCCTCCACATCTCATTGTCACAAAATGTTTGAGACATGTCTTGTGATTAGAACACCAAGGGCTACTCCATGGTCACATGCCTCTTTCTTGAGGGGAGGGGAAAACACACAAAAAAATCCCCAAAAAACCCAGCCAAACAAGAAACCAACCAAACAAACAACCCCAAAAAAAGCACAAAAAACCCCCCCAAAACAAAAAAAAACCCAAACCTATAGCTGGGGAGAGGGAAGAGTTTCCAATTCCAGTATATGATCTTCATATGCACGATTACTGTAGAATAAAGAGTTTTATGGCTTGAATTCAATAATACTGTTCTGTAAAAAAAACTTTTCACTGAATACTCCGCTGGGTATTTGGATGATATACTGAACATCTGTAGTAATGAAGAGTCACCAAAGGTCTCTTCTGGTTTTTGGTGCTCTTCTGGTTCCAGGGAAGAAGCAGAAAGAATGACTTGCTTTTTGTTTGTTCTTGGCAGTTTCAATGATGAGTTGTGGTTCCTAAGTATAGAGGTCAGTGAAGCTGACTTCTATATGCCTGCAACTGGTTCAGTGTTGGCTGGAGAGAATCAGGCACTTCTCAAACAAATCGTTGAAGCAGCTTCAGTATTCTTCACCATCTTTTCATGGAAAGTGAGGGGATGTAATGTTAGCAAATTTCTGAAGGAAAAATTGGCAGGCAGGATTCTAAATGGCCTTTTAGGTAGCTTAGCACATCTCCCCCTGCCTTAGTATGATGAAACTCCACCACAAAACATATGCTGTGCAGTCACCAGCATTTTATAAAGCTGTCATGCACATTGAAACACCACAGCTTTCTAGGTGTTTTGAAGTGGGTGTCCTGTCTGATGGAGTTTTGTCCATTGCCATACCATACTACCGTGCACTGGATGTTATGAACAAGTTTTAAAATAGCTAAAGCAAAGCCACTGATCAACTAAACGAATTGTTACTGCTTTAGAAAAGGTTGCTGATCTTTAATATGGAGTAGCTGTAAATATTAACACCCACAGCTTTGTAAATGCAAATAAAGTTATGGGAAGTTTAACATTTGGAAAGGAAGTAGTAAATAGGCCTGGGTGTGTCAGGAGAGGCACTGCAGGCCAGCTATCTTGGGTGGCACGTTTGGAGCACAAACTATCAAACGCAGCACTGTACCAGCCTCGCTTGTGCACTGTTCTTTGTGCTGGTGCCCCACCTATCAGCCAGAGAACAGGAGCTCTCTTACTTCCAAGACCTGAACTCACTTTTGTAAAAGGGGTTTATATATACTTGTAGATCTGTTGGAACTGGAGTCCAGGAGTTGAGCGTCGTTTCTCAGAAAATGTTGGATCATCTCTTAAAACTGGAGTACTAGTGTTCTGTGTCATGTCTTATGGATTTTAAAAGTGGTAAGCATTTAAGTACTGATTAAACAGTTCGGTTTATCATCCTTCATTCATATCAAACTTAATTGGACAAAACTACTGCCAATTCACTACTCAAAGATGGTAAGTAAAGATACTTGGGAAGAAACTCACCAGTTGAGTTCATGTTCTGCAGCAATGTTGTCGATAAACTTTTAGTAAGGGTTTACAACTTTAAAGTACTTCATATATATCTTGATCTCTAAAAAATGAGTTTTCAGCATTTTTATAAAGCTGGAAGAGAAAAATAGATTGTTAACATTTTTTGGTGTGAATATAAGACAGAAAGCACAGTTTGAATGTATATACATTTGTAGTGTTTGATCCCTGAGTTTAGCCATACTAAGCTCTTTCTCATACACTCCATGATGAACCACTTAGACAAGAAATCAGGGTGCGTGAAGAGGAGATGGGAGAATTGCAAGCAGACAGTACTTGTGTTACTCCTTTGCACATCAGTCACTTCTGAAAGTACACTGTAATTTCAGTAGAACTTAGCAGTGTTTTGCACATTGTTATATTGGTTTAAAAACATTTTATATTTTGCAGTTGTTATTTAAGTTACAGACATGAACAATAAAGTTTTGTTTGAACTTCTGCCTAATTGTAATGAAAGGAGAAGTACAAGCTCTGCAAACAGATTTTATAGAAGTATGAAAACAGAGCCAGGAGTTTACACAATCTACAGAAATGACATGTCATTACCACAAACTAGCTACTACAGGAAGTAACTCTTGAGTTATGTGCCAGATTATGTATTAACTTGAGACTCTGCATACATAAAATTATCTGGGGACAAATATTCCATGTTCTTTAAGACCCCCTTAAACCTCTGGGGAAGAAAAATCTTAGCAGACAACTCCTAACTTTTTTATTGGACATGTTTTGATATAACAGCTCATATCTCCTCAAAATACAGAATGTAACTAAGGAGGCAGTTTTTTCATGGGATCACCTCTGAGACATGAAAATATTTGTGCACAGTATCCATAGGTCCTCTTGACCAACATGGGTCTTTCATGGTGCTGTTTCCTTATAGAAGCAACTGAGATTTTGGGTAAATCCCTGATGCTGAAAACCTGCAGGTAAATAATTTAGATAATGATGTTGCTAACCTAATGCAGTAGTTGACTTGCCAGACTAGTAGCTTATGAATTTGTAGCATTTGTAGTCTGAGTAGCTAGCTTCTGAATGTTAGTGATAGCTTTGCCCTCCAGCAGAATGGCTTTCTACAGTTATGCACTAAGTACTCAAAACTGATGGCAAGTTCTGGAATCACTCTTAGTAGTTACGTAGCAACAAGTTGTTCCACAATTTCTTAATAGCTTAACCTAGGTGCTGCCTCCAAAAAGAAGCACATCATGCGTCTTCGTCCTCCTCTTTGTTTCTTTCTCTTGGCATTAGCATTTCACACACCATGTACTGCAACATAGATAAAGATTAATTCAGCTGAACATTTACAGGACAAAAAATTGTCTTTTAAATGGACTTGCTATCACTGTCTGAAGGGCAGCATCAGTGCAAGAGAATGTAGAAATAAGAATCAGAGAAAGACAGGACTCCTTCTTCCTCTAGTCCTCCTTCAAAGGCTCCAGCATCCACACTATTTAGATAACAACAGGACAGAAGCTGACCCCCTTGTTATCACTGGTGAGAGAGTAGAAGAAATCTGAATGATAAAGTGATGACTTTTGGTAAATATTTCCTCTAGTTTGCTTAGCCCAGTTGTCACAGGCATTTTGAAAGAAGTGCACCTGGCTGAATTGTTAACTGTGCTCTTATTTGTTTTTCAGGGGAGTTGGGGTACAACTGTCATCTTGTGGTGTTTTTAAGAAAACAGAAATAGAAAACCAACTTTCATTTTATATGCAGCATGTCTGTGTGGGATGGACACAGGTGATACAAAACTGAGTTAGGAAAGGCTTTTTGGCTGATAACAACAGTGTTATATTTTACTTCTGTTGCCAGCTTTGAGTCTGTTTGCCCCCAACCTTTGTGCTGTATCCAAAGACCTAAAATTTGGAGTCTGCAGGCCTTGGAGATGGAGAGAAGTTGAGCATAAAGAGAGCCTGCTGAGTATTTTCAAGACTGAGATTTGGAAATAAGTTTCTCTCCTCCACTTATGAAGAATCTAATATAGGACCTTTTGGAACATGGCACATCTATATTTAGTTTTCCTTACCTATATCCTTTCCCCCCCCTTTATTTTTATACGGACAAATTTTAAAATAAATGCATATATTAAATAAATTCCACATCTAAAGTCTGGCAAATAAGGGTTGTTGTAGGAGTGGTATGCTTTCTACATGTTTTCATAGAGATGAGAGGGACAGAAGACATGATATCACAGACATTATTTTGGTAAGATTAATGTTTTCAGTCAACATTAAAGCTGAATGCTGAAGTGCCAAAACACTGCCTTGTCTAATGCTGCCCTCCCATAGACCCATCAGTTTTAACTCTTGGTAATTCTCATCCGTTTTAGACTTCATTCCATCTTCCACTTCCTCAACCTCTTCTCAGTAGCACTTTGCCAGTGGAGCTACGGAATACCTATCTGGAGATTCATGACACCTTCGTAAATGTGGAGGGGAGAATGAAATTGCAGTTAATCCCAGATTATAATTTTATGTTGCAAACAGTAAAGTTAAGCAACTGTAAAAGAAGTACAGACTTTTAACTGTTGATTTTCAATTAGAACTCATTCCCTTCCCCATGCAATTATATCAAATCCATGCTGTGCTTTAGAAAAACAGGGAGAGGTGGCTCTTCTAACAGCTCACAGAGGAATTTTTACCATTCCAGTGATGCGGAAGGGTTTGTCTGGAGCCAGAATAGTGCAGCATCATCATCGTCACACCTCCTCTGTCTTCAATAGCTAATGGCTCAATTTCTGCAGAATAGAGCAATGCCTAATCCTGTGTAAGAGTCGCAGTACATGTATGACTTTAAATTTCTTGAAAACCTTGGAAAGCTCCAGAAGGACAAGTCAAATGCTTCTGTACATGAACGAGAATAAATGTGCAATTTAGACCTTGAGACAAGCTCAAGAGTAGTCAAAGTTAAGTAAATAAATGTTATTCAGTGAAAAATCTTTCTTACAATATGACATTATAAAAAAGAATCTGCATTTATTATGCAAGTAAAGAAAAGGATATGGGAAGTCAGGAATGGAAATGAAGAAACAGGATAACTTATATTTTCCTCTTTTTAAAAGCGAAAATGTCATATTTTAGTAAAAGTCCATACTTTTCTAGCCCAGCTGTTGTGCTTCACATGAAACTGAGAAATACTATATAAAGCACATGCTGTTATGATAGAATTTCTCTCTTGCTTTACTGCAGTTCCCTTCTAAACCAGACCCTAGTTCCACATTTCATGTAAAATAAAAGGAGCCAGGTGCTTCAGAACTGCCAAGACTGAATTGGGAGGGCAGCATCACAATTTTTCTTTAACTGTAGTCATTGGTGTTTTACATACAGTTAACATCCACTAAAGTTTTTAATTTCACATAAGATCCTTCAAATCCTTTTTATCTTTTTTTTTTCCAAGTAGCTATTTGGAGTTTTATTTGTTTTAAATGGTAAAAAAAAAAAAAATCAAAACCAGGTAATTATTAAAAATGGAGATACTAAACAGGACTCTTCAACTGACACCAAACTCAGTTTTCACACAGAGTATTTTCCTATTTCAAGAGAACTTTCCTGTAATCTAAAAACATAACTGCATATTTGTGAAATCTTCAATAACATGATGGGATTTATAATGTGTAAAGTTGTGCATGGAGGTAACTGAAAGAGCTTGGCTTAAGAATATAAATGCTTCCTGGCAGAGACTGTGTTACCTTCAGGACCAACAATTTCCCATTACTCAAGCTCAGAGACTTTTCCCTCTTTTGTGTAGGATATGATTCAAGGAGTGCCCCACACAAGTTTCTCGTGGGGACTGAGAAACTGCTGAGGTTAGTATCAGACAGGGAGAGAGTTGTTTTCTGTTTATTAGACATTCAAGATATGGATGCCTCTATAAGTTTTCTCCAAAGGCAGCTTTTCACTCACCATGGCTTAAAAAGTCTGGATCCTGTCATCTCCTGTGCAAACCAAGAGCCTTGACTGCTCAGAAGGTCATGTATTTCTGGAAATGTTCAGTTCATCGTTATTTTAGAACAAGAAGAGTTCAGGAGCTTGAACAGCAGAATTACAGACTTGGAAAGTTTTGTGGACATCATTAAATTCAGAATTCTATGGCCACGTTAAATAGCAGGACCTGTGAACTGACAAAACTCTTCATTGTGGAATCAATATGGAGCCATTCTCCTAAGGTGTCTTCCCTCAAGGAAGCAGCTCTAATCCTCACTATGTCAAGACTTCTTGGGCACGTGAAATTAAGGAAGTTCATTGGCAAGTGAAATATGGCAACAGGGAGACATATCCAGTACTGTTGCACCTGCTAAAAGCCTGAAGTGACTGCAAACATGCCAGCCTTGGCATTGGTGAGCCTTGGTGTGCTGTATGTTCCTTGGACACCGGTGAGTGGATAGGACTCAATATGAGTAGGGCTGCTCTGCTCATCTCCAGAGCTAGCACCAACAACCTGAGAATGTCCACTTAGTCTCCTTGTCCAGTCCTAGCCTCAGTAGAGGTGATGAAGGTAGCACCTGTCACAAGAGGCCTTGGCACCACATTTCTAACCTCCTCATCACATTTATCCTTGGGATATGTTACTAAGCCTTTGCATCAGAGCCATAGTATTCCTCAGCACTACAGTTGTGCTAAAGGAGCCTTCTCCCCAAGATTCCCTGTGGCAGGTGATAAGGATATTCAGGTTTTGGAGGTGAAGTGAGATCTCTCCTGTCAAAACAGTGAAAGTGCAACTCCTTGTTCTATGGAACACTGTGTTCCAAGCATCTCAGCACTTGAAACATGGTTTAAGTGCAGAAAGTTAAATTATTATTTCCTGACATAGGTGATTGGTGAGGTAACTAG